ATTTGATTATGTCTTGTTTTTATTATTGATGTGAAACCCCATTTTTAAATAGAATTTAATAAGAACATCTTAAAGTGCTTGTCATTTTCCAACTCTACGTAAAATCAAGGAGAATTAGTAGCACAGTGGGTTAAGAATTTGGCTGCTAACCACAAGGTGGGTGGTTCAAATCCACCAGCTGTTCCATGGGAAAAAGACAGAGCTGTCTGCTTGCTATTAGTCGGAATGGACTCAAGGGCAGTGGGTGTGTAAGGGATCACCCTCCCTCTCCTCACACAATGATCTATGCTATAATTAGTTCGGTTTCTTCATACCATACTTACCAATATCAGTACAATTGTATTTCTTTATTGTCTATCAGTAAGCACCCAGCATTTTTTAAATAAACAAACTTGAAGTTTCCTGTTTTGCATTTTTAAAAAGCTCATTTATAATAAACATAAAGGTGTTTCAGCATGATGCAAAACAGTTAAGTACTTGCCTACTAGTCAAAAGGTTGGATGTTTGAACCTATCCAGAGACACGTCACAGGACAGGTCGGGTGATCTGCTTCCAAAAGGTCATAACCTTGAAAATACTATGCTATTGTTGTTAAGTGCCGCTGAGTCGGTTCCGACCCATAGCGATCCTATTCAGGGTTTCCAAGGAACAGCGGTTGAGCTTGAACTGCCAATCCTGGGGTTCAAATAGACTATAGTCCAACGCATTAACCCACAGCGCCACACCAGGACTCTGTGGAACAGTTTAATTCTGCACACGTGGGTTGTCTTGAACCAGAATCAACTTGATGGCAACTATCAACAGCAATGCAATATATAAAATCCCCCTCCTTGGTATTTCCCCACTTTCTTCTAAAAGTGGCATATAAAGAAAAATACAATTAGTGAAGGATTGTCTAAATCTATGGATGGCAGGTCAGAAACTTATAGCAGCATATTGGGATAAATTGTCACATCTGGTTTGTCATCACTGCTGGCTTTTTTAATAACATGGGCCGAGATATTTTTTTGTGAAGAGAATCTGCTACTTATTACAGTCATGTGCTGCATATTCATCCATGATCCCATAGGGTTATGAGAGAGTTCAGAAATCTGTTTGGAGAATGGGACATAATGACTGCAAGAGCTCACGGCACGCCAACATGTGTATCTCATGTCTGCTGAATACAAAGTGATTGTGCTGACAGAAGTATAATGGCATAGTACATACATAACCTATAATACCTATGTCTTAATAGTTATAATAAATGCTTAAGCTTATCGGCTTATGCATGTACTATCTAAAACGCGTATCGTAAACAATGTATGCTCAACTTATAGATATCCAATCTCACATACAGCGAAGCTCTTGAGGGTTGTAACATTATCTTGTTTAATTTTCTTTCAAAAATTATTACCATAAAGTACATCACAGCTCCTAAATGCAGCAAAACCAATGCTAGTAATAGCAACAGCAAGAGGCAAAGGAAAAGTATCAATTTGGAGGTGAAACAATCACAATGATCCACAAAAACAAGAAAAAATGCTCCATGCTGTTGAATGATCAGCTCCACTGAAAGATAGGAGGCTAACAAAAATGCAAGAAGGACCTGTATCTGATATGGAGAAATTGCTGATGACACAGATAGAGGACCAAACACAAATGAATCCCTCTCAGCACACTGACAATCATTGCTAAGGCACAAAGCTTGTTTGGGATGCTTAAAGAAAAAGCAGTGCCAGACTATGACAAGGCGGTTATACAACCGTCCAAATCACAGATGTCCTGTTTCAAAGAAAGCGTCGTGGACATTAAGCAATACATGACTATACTTTCCTCCAGACAACTGCTTTTTCTAATCTAAAATTCGTTACATTCTTTTTCAGGATTCAGGCTATTACACAATTCCTTAAAAGTCAACTTCTTAAAACCTAGCCATTAATGTTACATCTTTCCCTCTTTGGTACTATTACAAAACATCTTAAATTGAAACAAAGCTACTACCAGGTGCCAGGAGACACAGATTCTGAGAATGCAACATGAGGTTCAATCTAATCCTCTAAAGGGAGGCACTGGAAAGTGCATGTGTATGCACATAAAAGAGGGAGAGAAAGACTGAAATGTATACTCAAATAGAAAGCATTATACCAATGTCTGTGGCCAAACTTCACAAAACAACCACAGAACAAATCCAATCACTCTTTCACGTCTGTCCCCGGGAATGGGAATGAAAATCCCCTCATTCGAGGTAGATGATTTGTAAGCCTTGTAACAGAGGGAGGTCATGATCTGTAAAGCCTTATTCGAGAGGAGCCAGGACTACTCAACTTGGGAGGGGGGAGAAGAAAGGGGTTACCAAACGTCTGAACAAGCTAGGCCTTCACTGAAAGACAATATAATATTGTGTTCTCAACTTCTGTTTAAGAATGAAGAACATTTTCTGTATTTTCTACAAATCCACAGTGGAAGTCTTTGTCCATTATATTGCTCAGGCAATATACGCATCCTACAATTCAGTACGAGGAACAAGACTCACTTTTAGATCAAGCTTGGAATTTTTCTTTTTATCAAATAACGTGAACTATGCATTGTCACAAACTTTTAGAGCTGGAAGAGCCTTTAGAAATCATTTAGTCCAGCATTTCCAAAGTGTGCTTTGGGTGTGGTGAAGAGATAGAAGAAGAAAAAAAAAAAAGAGTTCTATGAGAAACAAGTTTTTTCTTTTCATAACAATTTTATTGAGATGTAATTCACATACCACAGAACTCACCCTTTTTTAAAGTGTGCAATTCAGTGGTTTTTAGCATATTCAAAGAATTGGGCAACCATCACCACTATCTAATTCACTATCTAATTTTAGAACATTTTCATCATTCCCCAAAGAAACCACACATACATTAGCCCCCATTGCCCCAACAAACAAGTTTCTTTATCCTAGGAATTCTTGGATCTTTTATCATTAATCTAATGTGTTTTGTGAGTTTCTAACAAGAAGATGGGATAAAATGTGAAGTGTTTCCCAAACTTAAATTTAATAATGAGCATTCAAGCTTACTATTTGCTTTCTAAATGCTATTTATGTATATTGTTGTTAATTGCCATCGAGTTGGTTCAGTTCCGACCCATAGCGACCCTGCATAGGGTTTCCAAGGAGCAGCTGATGAGCTTGAACCACTAATCTTGTGGTTCAAATCAACTTTGCAGTCTGGCGCATTAGCCCACCACACCAACCAGGACTCCTCAGCTAATTCTCACTATAAGTTCATGAGGGAGTACTGCTACTATGCACGTCTTATGTGAATATCAAAACACTAAAGATTATGGCTAAATTGTCCAAGTGTTTGTAACCACTTCTATCCTGGTGTGGTGCTGTAGGATAAGCACTGAACTGCTAACCACAAGGTCAACAGTTCAAACCCGCGAGTATACAGAAACCGTATACAGGTCGCTTATGAGTTAGAAGGTCTTGACAGCACTTAGCAACTACTACTCCCCACAGAGCTCTGGTAACGCAGTGGTTATGAATCCGACTGCTAACCTCAAGGTTGGCAGTTCGAAACTACCAGCCGTTTTGCAGGAGAAAGATGAGGCTTTCTGCTCCTGTAAAGATTTACAGCCTTGAAAACCCTGTACAGGGTCACTATGAGTTGCAACCAACTCCCGGGTACTTAACAACAACAACAACAACTAGCCACAGAATCAACTAAGTGTGGGATGAGAAAGGCAAACTAGTATTCTATGAACCACAACTTTGTAAGTGTTCTAGTCCAATCTCGAATTTACGGTGAGAAAAACAAGGCCCAGAAAGGTTAGCAGACAGCCAAGCATTCCAACTCCTCTTTGGTTTCTGGGCTAATTTACAATTAACTGCATACAACTACAATTATCTATCTATCTTATCTCAGGTTTCTTACACAATTCTCTTCCTTTAAATATTCTGCCGTTTAAAAAAAATTGTTAACATGGTAATAAGCCTTGTTGGGATTGACTTTGCCCTTTTTAGGTTCTCTTTTCCTGTAAGCACGGCACTTCACTTCTGCATGTGCAAATCCCACCCATCTTTTAACATCTAGCGCAGCTGGAGGGGAGGGGGTTGTTGTTGTTAGGTGCCATCGAGTCGGTGCCAACTCATAGCGACTTTATTATTATGCACAGCAGAACGAAACACTGCCCGATCCTAGGCCAACCTCACTACTCTTGCCATGCTTGAGCCCATTGATGCTGCCACTTGGCCAATCTATATCGCTGGGGGTCTTCCTCTTTTTCTCTGACCCTCCACCGGTCAATTTTCCTCCCACCCGAGTTGGACGTCATCTTTCTCCCTCTGTGCACCTGACCCGTCTTCTCTTTAGACACGCCTGTCCTGAATTGGTCCTGTAGTCTCACTTCCTAGGCAGAGAGCTCCTGGAGGGAGCTTATGAGTTGGAAGCCAAACATCCGAGACAGTCAATATGCACTTAACAGAATTGATCTAACTATCTCTGTAGAGTGGTTTAACTTCTCTAGAGCAAGTGCAAAACTCTCCCTAAGCCTGTCAATCTGTCCCCATTCCGGGCCCAGGACGATCTCTGACGCGCAGCAGAGTTGGTTTAGAAGACTGGCCACCAACGCCAGCCTTTTTGAATCCATGGAGGGTTCAGCAACAAGTAACAAGAACTGGGCAGGGCAGTCGTAAGGCGGCTGCACATCCGAAACCCCGTCCACCTCTCGTAAGGCCCTGACTAGATATCCCTGTCAGGCGCTGCGGCCGCGAGAGACCTGAGAGGAGAGCTGGGGGCCCGACTCTAGTGTGACAGAGAAAGGCCTTGAACTAGGGTCACCACTCCCAGTTCGGAAGATCTTGGGGGCAAGGAGAGCGAGGGAAGAGAAGGGGCTTCACTTAACCCGCTCTAGCCTCCCCTTCCGACTGCCGGGTCATGGGACACAGACCGCGCCAGGCCAGGGGGTCGCGCGCACCCCCGCCCCCTGTCCCGCGCCATCTTGGAGCGCCGTCCCGGACCGCTGCTCCAGTGGGTACTCACCTACGCTGCCCGGAGCCAGGACCCCTGTTACTTCTGCGACCCCCGTCAGGGCCAAGAAAAGGAGCAGCGTGCCTCGCAGCGAGGCCCGGACGTCCGCCATGTCCGGGCCGAGCGGGTCTGGAGCCGCTGGATGCTCGGACCCCGTACAGCCGCCGCTGCTCCCTCGAGGCTCCGCCCCGCCACCCTGAACCTTTGATGATTGGCTGCGGTGGGCCCAAGCTCCGCCCTATAGCCGCACGGAGCTTCTAAAAACTCCTGCCGGCGGGAATGTGCCCAGGACCCCTGCTCTTTGTTAAGGCCCAGCTGTGTGTTGGCTTTTGCAGTGAATCCCGGCCGCCAGCGTTCTTCAAGAGAGGAGTCTGAAGATACAACTCTTCTACAACCGCCCGAGGTTTATGGATGGTGACACTAAGGGCCAGAAAGGAGACTGACTTGCCCATGACCTGCGAGTTTGCCAGAAAACTAGGTATTAGGTTAAGACTGAACGAAAGGGATCTCTTCGTTCACGTATTCTCCATGGTACTCATTAATTTTCTTTCTACGGAGATGCCACCTCACACCCACATTAGGAAGCCTTGTCACACTGGGACAACTCGCCTCCCCCAAGCTGAAGGCTCTTCCTCAGACATGACCCTCTGACAAGGATCTGAGGTTCACAAACTCACTACCAAAATTCTTTTGCACCTGTAGCCCCATGTGTCTTTGAAATACTATTAAGCACCTATTCCCCTTGGGGAAACACGGGGATGGGAAGGCAGGAAATGAGGAAGAGGGAGGTTTGTGTGTTTGGATGCGAGGGCCTTGAATGTCAATCTTACCCTCTCAGCACTCCCCCCATCTCACACAAGGAAACACAAACATACACACACATACAGACAGCTACTGTAGAGAATGTTTGAGAAGGTCCACTGGCTATTAAAGTTAATATTTTCTCTCTTTTTGTTTTCCTTTCCTCTTTCAAAAGCAACCAGACAAATGCACACAGTTAAAATTTTTAATTTTTAAAATTGGTAAAGGTGTGCGCCGGGGTTGTATTCTTTTACCAGTCTTATTCAGTCTGTATGCTGAGCACATAATCCAAGAAACTGGATTATATGAAGAAGAACGTGGCATCAGGATTGGAGGAAGATTCATAAACAACCTGGGATATGCAGATGACACAATTTTGCTTGCTGAAAGTGAAGAGGATTTAAAAGATCAAAGACCACAACCTTTGGTATGGGTTGCATCTCAATGTAAAGAAAACAAAAATCCTCACCAGTGGACCAATAAATAAGGTCCGTATAGATGGAAAAAAGATGAAAGTTGTCAAGGACTTAATTTTGCTCAAATCAACTATCAGCACTCATGGAAGCAGCAGTCAAAAAATCAAACACGTATTGCGTTAGGCAAATCTGCTGCACAAGACCTTTTTAAAGTGTTCAAGAGCAAAGATGTCAGTTTGAGAACTAAGGTGCATCTGACCCAAGCCATGGTATTTTCAATAACTTCATATGCATGTGAAAGTTGCACAGTGAATAAGGAAGACCATAGAAGAATTGATACATTTGAGTTATGGTGTTGGGGGAGAATATTGGAAGTACCATGGACTACCAAAAGAACAAACCAATCTGCTGCTTCCTTGAGTGTTGATTGGATCCAAGCAAAATAAAGTCTTTGACAACTTCAATCTTTTCTCTATCTGTAGTTGTTGTTATTGTTAAGTGCTGTCCAGTCGGTTCCAACTCATAGTGACACTGTATAGGATTTCCAAGGCTCTGAATCTTCTTGGGAGCAGAAAGCCTCATCTCTTGTGTAGCAACTGTGGACCTTGCAGTTCACAGTTCAGTGCTTAGCATATGGAGCCCCTGCTCATCACATGTGATTTATTAATCCAGTTGTGAGGATTTTTGCTTTCTTTACATTGAGGTGCAATCCATACTGATCTTTGGTTGTCATCAGAATTTTAAGTAAACCTATACTCTCTTTCTCTTCTAACTTTGCAAAAGGAAAACAATACTTTACAACGATCTTTCTAAAACACCTCTGACAACTCTCCTGCTTTAAAATCTCTAAGAGAGGCCATCTCTTATAGGATAGAATGATGTACACTTATTTAATTAACATAGTGTTTTGAGCAAATGCACCATACCCTCTTCCTAACTTTGTCTCTACATACTCCCTCACTTATCTTTTCAGAAACTCTTACCTTGTTATTCTAGTCTTTTAGTTGCTCTCCCCTTTCTGTCACCATATGTGTATCTTCTCTCTCCAGAACTTCCTCTACTCCTACCTCCAATTCTTAGAGTCTTATGGTAAACAGACTTAGTTGAGGGGACTAAGGTGGTTGCTCTGGGCCCAATTGTGCCTTGAAAGGACCTGAGCAGAAAGTGAGTTCTGGGTAAGGTGATCAACTCATCCTGATTTGCCTGAGACTGTTAGGCTTTTAAAACTGAAAGTCCCATGTTCCAGGAACAGAAAATAGTTGGTCACCCTAACATTTTTGCTCTTTAACCCATTAAATGCAATACATAATTTGATTTTTTGACTGCTACTTCCATGAGTATTGATTGATTGTGGGTCCAAGCAAAGTGAAGTCTTTTAAAACTTCAATCTTCCCTATTTATCATGATGCTATTTGTTGGTTCAGCTGTGAGGATTTTCATTTTCTTTACATTGAGGTGCAATCCATACTGAAGGCTGTAGTCTTTGATTTTTATCAGTAAATATTTCAAGTTCTCTTTGATTCTAGCAAGCAAGGTTGTGTTATGTGTATATCATAGGCTATTGATGTGTCTTCCTTCAATTCTGATGTCACCTTCTCCTTCATGTACTCCAACTTCTCAGATTATTTACTCAGGATACAGATTGAATAAGTACAGTGAAAGGATACAACCTTGACATAAACTCTTATTGATTTTAAATTGTTTGGTATGCTTCCGTTCTATTCTAACTACTGCCTCTAGGTCTATGTACATGTTATGCATGAGCACAATTAAGTGTTTTGGAATTCCCAGTCTTCACAATGTTATCCATAATTTCTAAAGATCCATAAGTCTATACAGTCTAATACTTTTCATAGTCTATGAAGCACAAGTAACATTTCTCTGGAATTCTCTTCTTTTATCCAAGATACATTGACATAAGCAATAATATTTCTTATTCTATGTCCTTTTCTTAATCTGGCTTGAATTCCTGGCAGCTCTCTGTTGATGTGTTACTGCAACCATTTTTAAATTATCATCAGCAAAATTTTATTTCTCTGTGATATTAATGATATTGTTTGATGGCGTGTCTTTTGTAGACAGTAGTGAAGGATCCTGTTTTTAATCCATTCTGCGACTCTCTGTCTCTTGACTTTGCATTTAATCCACTGATGTTTAGCATAGTTATCAATAGGTTTGACTTGACTGCAGTGATTTTCTTGTGCTTTTTTGTAACTGTTTTCTTTGTTCCATATATTTTTCTGTGCTGACTTCATTGTACATTTTTGTCAATTTATTCATTACTTTCATTTTAATATTCACAAAAGCTTTCTTGATTTGATACGAAGATGTATTAATTTTCTTTGAGGTTACTCTGTATTTTAATTTCTTTCCCAGTTTAAAAAAAATCTGTTTTATCTTAAAATCTCCTTGACTTCCTCACCATTTGGAATTCTGCTACTATACTCTTCCCTCTTTTTGCTTTGTGGTTGTCTGGATTATAAGTCGCTATTTTTGATTCCCTATTTTCATTCTTGTAGGTTTATTTTAGATGCTTCCATATTTAGGTTGAATTCTGGTTGGTGTTTCTGTGTATGTCAATCTCCAGTTGTTGTCTGCTGTTGTTGGTTCTCAGTCCAAAGGACTTCTTTTAGTATATTTTGTGAAGTTGGTCTGGTTTTTTACAAATTCCTTTCATTTCTGTTTATCTGGAAATGTTCTAATTTCATCATCATATTTGAGCGAGAGTTTTGCTGGGTATATGATTCCTGGTTGGCAATTTTTTTCTTTTAGAGTTTTGTATATGTCTCCCTATGGCTTTCTTGCTTGCATGGTTTCTGCTGAGACATCAGAGCTTAATCTTATTGGTTCTCCTTTGAAGTCTCAGAAAGCAAGTTCTGCTCTAGGAGTGGATGAGGGTAGGAGTTGGTCACACCTCTGGTCACCAGAGATGTGTGGGGGGAAAAACAGACTTGCACTTTTCCTATTGTCTGTTTGTATCTGCTCTGCCAGTCCTCTTTCTGTTGCCAAAGCTGCTCCCAAGATGGTAATGCCACATCTGGCAAGCTGTTCACCAGTCAGTCTCCCTCTTGCGTTGTCCTTGCTCAGCTTGCCTCGCCACAAGCATTCAATCCACCTCACTAACTTTTCATCTGAAGTTCAGGGTTCCAGGATTTTCACATGTGTCTATTTCATTTGGTCTCTTGTCTCTTTGTTGTAGTGGATCAGCATAGTGAGTCTGCCTAGTCTACCATCTTGCTTGAAGTCCTGCTATAAGATTTAATAGCTGCCCAAATCCTTTATCATGAATATCAAAGAAGTAGCATCTAAAAATTATAATTAATATGATTCTGCTTATCATGTTATATCATTACTGTGGTCGGTTATATGTTCACTGGGTGTGGGGAAAATTGTTGTAATACCATGGTGAGAGCATGCAGTGAGCAGAGACTGTTGTCCAGCACTTAATTGAGAACATTGCACAGGTGAACTCCTTGCACAATTTTATATGAGCTGACATGCATAGGCATGAATTAAGGAAAAGACCAGTGAGAGCTGCACTTTTTCTAATAAAAGGCACATTTAAAGAAGATCAAATAAGTGCACAGAGATGGCAGGAAAAGATTGAGTTCTAGGTCTGTATAAAAAGTGAGTCAATTCGACAGCACACATAATAATGTGGTAGTGGCTGCTAGTGTGTTAAAAATTGAAACAAGTTTGTGGGTACCTATTGACTCCGATTGTTTTACTCCACGGCACATAACAACAACAATAACATTGTTTTACTACATATTAAAAGTCAATTAAAATGTATTTTTAAAAAATGAAACTCAAATCAAATACTTGTAGAAACCTAACAAACTTCCATTGGGAGAAGTTTGATTCTTAATGGATCAGATTATATTATTCAATAGTTTTGTAAAATGTGCTTTTAAACACATATATTCAATGCTGATATCCTCTTTCTCTTCCAAAATAATGAATCAATCT